AAAGACAAAGGAGACAGCGAGGAAACAAAATAAAAAATGAGTGTAAGAGAGAGGAGAGAGAGAGAGAGGGGAGAGAGAGAGAGAGAGAGAGTTTGAGACAGGGAGAAAGAATAAAGAGACATTTCTCTCTTTCTCTCTCTCTCTCTCTCTCTCACAGGAACCAGAAGGGCCCTCCGAGACAGAACTTTGAGGCGCCACAAAGTGAAAGATTCTGAGACTGACCCAGGTCGATGGTTCCTGGTCCATGAAGAAGTGGTCCCGGGGGAGTGAGAGACAGACAGACAGACAGACAGTTAGAGAGAGAGAGGGAGCCAGACAGACAGACAAAGATAGAGAGAGTGAGTGAGAGAGAGGGATACAGACAGACAGATAGACAGAGTGAGTAAGAGAGAGTGACAGACAGACGGACAGACAAAGTTAGAGAGAGTGAGTGAGAGAGAGGGAGAGAGACAGACAGACAGAGAAAGTTAGAGGAGAGACGGAGCCAGACAGACAGACAGGCAGACAGACAGACAAAGTTAGAGAGAGTGATAGAGAGAAACATAGACTAACAAGGCAGTCAGATAGAGGTAAATTGAGTGGAGAGAGAGAGAGAGCGAGAGAGAGAGAGAGAGAGAGAGAGAGAGAGAGAGAGAGAGAGAGAGAGAGAGAGAGAGAGAGAGAGAGAGAGAGAGAGAGAGAGATTAAACAGACATGAAAGGTTAAATAACGGGGTGAGTGGGAGATAGAGAAAAAAAGAGAGAGACAGAGAGAGAGAGAGAGAGAGGGAGGGGGGGCTTTCACTTGACAGGTTGAGGACAGTTCGAGTTGCTACTCCAGGATAGTATAGAGGCGCTTCAAGTACTAGCTGGTAGAGACACGCCAACACACAGGATGATTTATATATCATTGTGGAGTGGGAGGGAGAGGGTGGAGTGGGTGGTATTGGAGTGGGAGGTATTGTAGTGGTAGGGAGAGGGTGCAAGTGAAGGAAGAGTGGGTGACGTGGGAGGTGGAAGGTAGTGAAGTGGGAGGGAGAGAAGGAGTGGGCTGTGGTGGGTGGTGGAGTGGGATATGGGAGGTAGTGGAGTGGGAGGGAGAGAAGGAGTGGGCTGTGGTGGGTGGTGGAGTGGGATATGGGAGGTAGTGGAGTGGGAGGGAGGAGGTAGTGGAGTGGGAAGGAGATCGTGAAGGAGAGGTATTGGATTTAGTGGAAGGGAATTAGTGGAGGAGGAAAAGGAGAAAATGGAAGGGGAAAGTCAGGGATAAGGGAGATGAAAAGGAAGGAAGGAGGGAGAAAAGAGAGGGGAAGAGAGGGTGGAAAGGAAGAATGAAGAGGGAGAAGAGGTGTCATCTCTCTCTCTCTCTCTCTCTCATTCTCTCTCTCTCTCCTCTCCTTCTTTACATGACTCCATCAACTCCATCTACCTATTCCTCTCTTTATCACCTCAATCTATCTCTTTATATCTATCATGTTATCGGATATACACCAGTTTCTCATATACACTAGTTTACATATATACAAAAGTTATATTTATATGTGTTTTTATATGTAATCACAGACATATGCATTGGTAATATCTTTATCTGTCTGTCTGTCTCTCTGTCTGTCTGTCTGTCTGTCTGTATGTCTGTCTGTCTGTCTGTCTGTCTGTCTGTTTTTCATACGTAAACCAAAAAATTTATTTGTTAGTCGTGAGTTTAAAAGCTCTTGATGAAACAGGTATATTCTAGGTGTTAAAATATTCACAGGGGGAGAATTTGGCACGCTTGTAGTGGTGATTTTGTGATAAGTTATTATTGTTATTAGTAGTGTTGTTGTTATTGTTGTTGTTATTGTTATTATTGATGTTATTATTGTTATTATTTTTTATTATTTATATTATTGTTGTTTGTTGCTGTTCTTCTTCTTCTTATTATTATTATTATTATTATTATTATTATTATTATTATTATTATTATTATTATTATTATTATTATTATTATTATTATTATTATTATTATTATTATTATTATTTTTATTATTATTATTATTATTATTATTATTATTATTATTATTATTATTATTGTATATTATTATTATTATTATTATTATTATTATTATTATTTTTATTATTATTAATATTATTATTATTATTATTATTATTATCCATCACACGCGCACGATAACCTCAAAATTAACCTGCCTGATGGAAACTTTCAAAAGCCAACCAGGTCCTCGTAAGACATCAAATGCTCTCGTAAAGACATCAAATGCTCGCTCAGGTAAATTGCAATACTAAAACTTTTTACATCTCGTTGCATTTGATCGTCGGGGAGAAAATATTACCATAAAGTGACGCTAGTTTACAAACCCCACCCACCTGCCCACCTATCAACCCACCTAGCCCACCTATTACCTCGCCTACCTAACCCACCTACGTATTAACCCACTCATTCACCTATCTACCAACCCACCTTCTCACCCATGTGTACCTACCCACTCAACCCACTAAAATGCCCAATCCAATATACTTTCCAACCCACTACAATCCACTCTAACCCACTCCAACCCACTCTAACCCACTCCAACCCACTCCAACCCACTCTAACCCACTCCAACCCACCTATCTGGCTACTGTTAAGGACGGGATGTTGTTGGGGTAAAATTGGACAAAACTAACGACTGAATAGGGTGATTTAGTGGTGATTAGAGATCTGTTAAGGGTTTTAAGTGGTCTTGTTGGTGTTCGGGTGGTGTGTGTTTGTGAGGTCGTGTTTTGGGGAGGGGGGGTGGGGGGGGTGGAGGGGGTAGGGGGAGCTTTTTAGGGGGGGAAGGGGTGAGGAAATTTTACTTGTTGAATTTTGTTGTTGTTTTTGTTTCTGTTGGGATTTATTTATTTATTTTATATACGTAGTTTTTTTTTGGTATTCTTAATGTTATTTTATTTATGTTTTTAATCGTAATCGAGAGAAATTATGTTTAAGAGTGATTTGTTTATATTCGTTTTGGTGCCGATTTAATTCTTAATCGGGAGAAAATATACAACTTAAATCGGGTTTTAAGGTAAATCATTACGTAAATCGGTTGCATTACCTACTTTAAGTCACAAATCATTCTTTTAAATCGGGTTTTGGAGTCAATTTATGTCACACCTGAGAGAAAACGATTCCATCACCGCTTTCTTTGGATTTATTGAACCGATTTCATACATAATCTGGCGGGGAGTTTTACCTTCCCCTGGAAATATCTCATACAAGACCCGGAAATATATAAGCATAGGTTTATCGTGTGTAAAGTTGGTGTTTTATGGTTTACCGCTCTTGTGTTTAGTTTACATACACAAGTTGTTTTATGTAGTGGTTTACAGATGCTGTTTCTTAAAGGTGTGTTTTATTGGGTGTTTTAGTATTTGTTTTGTCGTGTTTGTGAGTGGTGTTTTACAGGTGTTTTAAAAGTGTTAATTAAGTGGTGTTTTACAGGTGTTTATTGAGTGGTGTTTTACAGGTGTTTTACAGGTGTTTCTTGAGTGGTGTTTTACAGGTGTTTTAAATGTGTTTATGAGTGGTGTTTTACTGGTGTTTATTTAGTGGTATTTAAAGGTTCTTTTATACTAAAGAAAATAAATAATAAAGCAAAATCATAAACCAAATAATGACTGATTCTAATATTAAACAAATTAAACCTTTTTTTGGGGGGAGAAAATTAATAAATATTCCACTTATGTTCTTTAAAAAAATGTATTAGTTAAATTTAATTGTTATTTTAGTTTAGTTAAAATTTATCCCAATGGTTTTAGATTTAATTATTATTATATAATTTTTTGGTTTTTATTAATACTGTAATAAGATCAGGTTTAAATTATATTGTTATTGTGTTGTAATAATTTAATATCTGATCACATTAGTTGTTTATATTGATGTTGGTTTATCCAGAAATTAAACCAATCTGAAGCTTTACCGGGAGCCAAACTTGTTTATGTCACGACCTGTCTTTAAGATAGCAATGTTTACTTTTCTAACAATAACACTTGAGGCTTTTAGGTTCATATAAGAGGCTTAGGAGTTAGTGTAGTGTAGTGTAGTGTAGTGTAGTGTAGTGTAGTGTAGTGTAATGTAGTGTGTGTGTGTGTGTGTGTGTGTGTGTGTGTGTGTGTGTGTGTGTGTGTGTACTAACACGAGAAAGAGAGAGAGAGAGAGAGAGAGAGCACACACTAACACCTCAGAGATGGGCTGCTCTCTGCTCGCCACCACAGTGTTCAATTCCACACTATGATTGCTTCTATAAAATAGTTTTGTCTGTTTCTCTTTAAATGACATTGGTTGGTATCAGTTCGGTGTGTGTGTGTGTGTGTGTGTGTGTGTGTGTGTGTGTGTGTGTGTGTGTGTGTGTGTGTGTGTGTGTGTGTGTGTGTGTGTTCCTCTCTGACCGCTTACTTACCCTGCAACTATTGAACCTAACGTCGTATATAAAAGTCAGCAGCCGTCAGCCCTCAGCTATCAGCCGTCAGCCCTCAGCTATTAGCCGTCGGCCATCAGCCATCAGCCGTCAACCATCAGCAGTCAGTAAGGGAAGACATGAAAGACACTACATATTAAATAATACCAATACGAATAAACCTTTGCCTTTCTCCGTCAGTGAGTGAGTGAGTGAATGAGTGGGTGAGTGAGTGAGTGAGTGAGTGAATGAGTGACTGAGTGAGTGAGTGAGGTGATGAAGTCGTTGTCATCAATAAAAATGGCTGCAGTATTTAATTAAAAGGTTGTTGACAGCGTGTACACATATATTGTATTTCATTACTTTGTTTTAATCTTATGTAGAGAAAAATATAGCACGGACACTACAGCATTTAATTGTATGACTGTATACGTTCATATTCCTGTGTATGTATGTATGTATGTATGTATGTATGTATGTATGTATGTATGTATGTATGGTTCCTGGTTGGGTTTCAGTATTGTTCCTGTTTATAAATTCCTGTTAACTCTACGCGGAAATAATGACTTGAAATTTAACCCTAATTTTGTTTTCTTTACAGGAGTGATGGAGCAACAGTAGACGGAAAGATGGAGGATTTCACTGCGGGAGCATCATAGAAAACGAAGACTTATAGAAAATGGGATTAACCAATTTTGAGGAGTGACTACGTTGAAAATTAATTATAAGAAAAACATGACGTGAAGATATATAACATTTAGTAGTGATTAATACTAATACTAATGACTTTATCTTAATAGTGAGGGTCAAGGTGTATAAATCAGGTGTATCTGATCTGACCTAATATGATCTGACCTCATCAACACACTTGTCATGAATCAGAGAAAATCAGTATACTATAACATCTATTGACAATAAGATAATTTTATGATGTTATTTCTAAGCAAGAATACAATATACTGTCATAAAGGCTGACTGTCATGCGCTGATGAATGCTGACACTGTAAATTGTTCAGATCGAAATAGTTTACAATGGAGATGGTGTGTTGGCCATTGAGAAACGACGCCCCACAATTTTCCAGGACCTGTGTGTGTGTGTATGCAAATGAGCCCGCAGCAGCAGAAATACGCATGTGTTAATACCTTGACAGACATGCAGATAGACACCACTTTCAATAAAGATTAACTCGGAGTATCAAAAAAATAGAACTCAGATATATGCACATACATATACGTATACATACACACATAAATACATATATACATTAATCAATCAAGCTATCTTACTCATGTTTTGACTTGTTTAAGGTATACATGCGTTAAAGGTATTCATACAATATACATGTTAATATATACGGATATACATGTAATAGTAAAATTATCTTGTTCAACTTGTGTCGTGTTCAAACGATATACACAATGACTATATATAAGTGATTTAACGAATGTATAAAATATTCGTGTCCATTGTCTGGTCATCATATTACTGACAGACACGAACTATAATCAAAACAGTGACAGATTGACAGGTGTATACCATCTGTCTAACTGTCTGTTTGTCTGTCTATCTGAGAGAGAAAGAGGGAGGGAGACACGAGTCTTTGATGTCTCCAAAACTCAGTCGAAATTGTTGCTTGTTTGAATTTCTCGCTTTACTGAGAAAACGTTGTTGCTGGAATACATAGCTTTAAAAAAGATATATACCTATTAATAGAGGATATTTATATATATATTTATCCGTGTAAATAGTATACAGAGGCGATACAGGTAAATAGCATATCAACACCTGTGTGACGTGAAGGTCTGGTGACATTTACAACTAAAGAATGAAAGAGCATGACTAGAATTATATAAAGAACACCAATAACTGGGTGATATAGACCTACAAAAAAAGGAAGAATATTTGTTTCCAAGAGTCAGTCAGCTTAAGTGATTGTGTACATGACTCACAGAAAGAGTAACGATCGTGACTCACACAGCGGAAGATAAACAAAGCATGAGACACAAAGTGATTCTTGTAACGTCTTGGTTGTGGCGATCGGTGTAGAACAAACATGTTGACAGAGGCTGGCGGACAAATATCTGAGGTAAAATCCTTGGTTGAGAGCCTGCATAGCGACGAAGGGAATTCTGATCACAACTTTGTCATGACGGAAATGGCAAACTCAGGAGGACATGTCTGGACTTTGGCAAAGCGGAAAGTTGCCTGTGAGGAGAAAGATCTGAGATGGGAGGAACGTGATGGAGAAGGGAGTACGTTCAAGTCGACCTCCCTCTGCCTCCTTCACCAGGCGTTCCAGAGTTCACCAAGCTCGAAACTTTTCCTGGTGGACTGGGAAGTGTGTCGAGACGTGGGTATAAATGACCCTAACTTGGGCCTTCTCTGGGCTAACTTAGCCAGTCAGGAGGACAACTTGAGCCTCTCCCTGCTGCCTCAAGTTACACTGGCCTCGGGGAATAAGAATGACACACTGACAGTCATTCTAAACACAACACAGCACCAAGACGTCGCTCACCATGGAAACGAAACTTTCAACTCCAACGATGTGACGGAAAGTTCTCCTCGAAAATCGTCCCTGAGGTGTTGCTGCTCCTCCATGATCAAGGACCAATACACTCTCAAGGACGAGCAGCCAGGGATACACCAGCACCTTCAGGAGCTACCAAATCACAATAAAGATCTTACGATTTTCTCCAAGATTGAATCAGAAGCTGAGGGGCGAAGCAGAATCGAATCAGATGCAATGCTTCGACTCATCAACAGAGACTTGGAACTGATGACTGAGCAGGACACAAACTACAATCGGAAGTTGTCAGTAAGTCACATTCACTGCCTCCTGACTCCCTCTGACACCGAGGAACCAGACAGAATCGACCCGAACGAGAAGCGGTTTCAATCCTCCGACAAAGACCTGATATTAAGAACTAACCAAGACCTGAAGACCAGAACAGACCAGACCTCACAGACCTTCGGCAGCCCCTACAGCTCTACCAGGTCCTGTGACGTCACCACGACACCACATTACAGATCATCCTGGCGAGACCCTGAACATGATCACACGACACCCTGGGGAGCACCCACCCTGCCCACCCTGCCCACCCTGTCCACCCTGCCCACCACTAGCCAGTTATATGGTGGGCACTCAGATTCTACCCATAGCCCACCCCAAGGACCCTACAACCCACCCAACGGATTCCACAACTCACCCCACACAACCCACAGCCCATGCCAAGGAGCCGAGAGCCCACACACCAAGGCCAGCAGGAACCAGCTGTGTGGTGGGCAAACAGCTGGTCACTCACACGGTAGAGGGTGGGTGGTGGGGGCGTCGTGGGTGGTGTGGGTGCTGCCTCTGTTGCTCCTCCTGCCAACCTTAGTCTTGGCTGACACAGGTAAGTCGATGCTATATTAGTCTATAACACACACACACACACACACACACACACACACACACACACACACACACACACACACACACACACACACACCCACCCTCTTCCTCCCTCCCCACACACACACACACCCTCCTCCTCCCTCCCCCCACACCCCACACACATACCCTCCTCCTCCCCTCCCCACCCCCCACCCCTCCTCCTCCTCCCCACCCACACACACCCCTCCTCCTCCCTCCCCACCCCACACACCCCTCCCTCCTCCCCTCCCACCCCACACCCCTCCTCCTCCCCTCCCCCACCCACCCCACCCCTCCCTCCCCTCCCTCCCCTCCCCACACCCCTCCCCTCCCTCCCTCCCCCCCACCCCCCACACACCCCTCCTCCTCCCCTCCCCCACACCCCCACCCTCCCTCCTCCCTCCCCACCCCCCCCCCCCTCCTCTCCCTCCCTCCCCACCCCCCCCCCCTCCCTCCCCTCCCCACCCCCACACCCCTCCTCCCTCCCCTCCCCACCCCCCCCACCCCCTCCTCCCTCCCTCCCCACCCCCCCCCACCCCTCCTCCCTCCCTTCCCCCACCCACCCACCCCCACACCCCTGCTCCTCCCCACCCCCACACCTCCCTCCCTCCCCTCCCCACCCACCCCCACCTGCTCCCTCCCCACCCCACCCCCCTGCTGTGACCTGCTTTTCATTATATATCATAACTGCATCAAAGGCTTTTAATTTACCTGTGACGCTGATCACTGTAAAGGATAATATTTTAAATACAAGTATAATATTGTTAGTATGGAGTGTTGTCATTATACTGGTGTGTGAGAGAAGAGAGAGAGAGAGTGAGAGATGAGAAGAAAGAGAGAGAGAGAAAGTTTGAAGGTGTGAGAGAGAGTTGTATTATGCTGATGTTTGTGTCCTGTGGGAGAAATAAAAGAGAGAGATGCTGATGTAGAGAGACAGCAAAGCCCATTTGTGTTTGCTGGTCTTTGTGTCGTGTGGGTAAGGAAGGTAATCTGTCTCTCTCTCTCTCTCTCTCTCTCTCTCTCTCTCTCTCTCTCTCTCTCTCTCTCTCTCTCTCTCTCTCTCTCTCAACTTGAACTCTAAGATAAATGTCACATGTTCCCTAAAATAAGCTTAAACCAATACCAAACCTATAACACAAAATCTACCGTGTTATCCTGCCGTGTTTAATATCATGTTCCAATAATCTTCACGAGTATATTATCACGTCATTTAGTAGTTATGATTTAAAGATAGAATTAATATATCATGGTCCTAAAACTCATTGGACTTTGGCTCTCATAAACTATTTGCATATATATACTAAGTTGCCCAAACTACAAACGGACTTTTTAATTAATGAGTTTAAAGTAGGTTCAGTAAATCCTCTTATCCTTTCTATTATCAGACCATGAATAATGATCTTGAAAGAGTTTTATATGTCTATGTATGTATGTATGTATGTATGTATGTATGAATGTATGTATGTATGTATGTATGTATGTATGTATGTATGTATGTATGTATGTATGTATGTAAGTATGTATGTATGTAAAGATTCAAGTGTTTTTCGTAACTTAGTATCAGTTTGTATACATGAGGTAAGGAGGCAGCTCCAGGTGAGACTAATATAAACAAAATATTTACCTGTGCCTCAAACTCACTCACCTTGATTAACAAAAACCAGGAGACCGCATCACTACAGGTATTTTTTTTTACACTCATTAACCTGTAAAACACTGGTGCATTTACCTGTGTTGTATGTATGTATGTAATGTATGTATTTTTGTAATGTATGTATGTATGTATGTATGTGTGTATGTATGTAATGTATATATGTATGTATGTATGTATGTATGTATGTATGTATGTATGTATGTATGTATGACTCGCTCGACCATTATGCACGGTTTCAGGATATTTTGAAAAGCCACTCATTCTGCTCAGTAATTTTGCTCGTTGATTGAGTGGTGTATATTTACGGTGTGTTTATCTCTCTCTCTCTCTCTCTCTCTCTCTCTCTCTCTCTCTCTCTCTCTCTCTCTCTCTCTCTAAAAGCCCAAAATATATGAATAACCATTTATCCTGCCAATGATTTTTGCAGATTGGCCCTTAATGCATGTACTGTATACATAATCTCTCTCTCATTCTCTCTCTCTCTCTCTCTCTCTCTCTCTCTCTCTCTCTCTCTCTCTCTCTCTCTCTCTCTCTCTCTCTCTCTCATCCGTACATTACCACGTCCTTTCAAAAGCTCACTGAAACATAAATATTCAGTTGATCGATTACATAATCCGTAATTATTCCAAGTCAATAGAGACGCTGATCTAACCTTATTACGTGTGGGGGGATAAATATGCACGACGCGAATTGAAATTTGCATAAACAAGAGAGCAGTATTACATGGCACATTGTTCTACCACTTATAGCAGTTTTTTATTTATTTTCATATATGAATTCTGATTATTAATTAGCCCAACAACCAGGTAATGCGTTCGAGTTTGAATGATTATGTAGAGATAAATACCATTTGTTTTGGTTCGTTTTAATATCAGAATGTTCATGTGAATTTGACATATAGTGAAAGATTATGATATTATTCACCACGTTTAGAGATAAGTAAGACTAATATTAAATCATTAAGTAGCGTTTTATCTGTTACCTGTGTGTTTAATGTTATGAGTACGTGGTGTTATTTATACAACATTGAGGCCACGAAACTAAGCGTGGGAAAGTTTGGGTGAGCGTGGGAAAGTTAGGGCGACCGTGGGAAACCTTAAGTGGTCATGGCAAATTAAACATGTTCGTGGGAAACTATTATTGATCGTGGGAAATTATGACTGACTGTGGGAAATTAGGACTGACCGTGGGAAATTATGACTGACCGTGGGAAATTATGACTGATCGTGGGAAATTAGGACTAATCGTGGGAAATTATGACTGACCGTGGGAAATTAGGACTGATCGTGGGAAATTATGACTGATCGTGAAATTAGGAATGATAAGTGGGAAATTAGGACTGATCGTGGGAAATAAAAACTCTACCGTAGGAAATAATATCTAATTGTGGGAAATAATGACTATCGACCAATCTCTAGATATTCCAGAAATTATTACATGAATTTTAACCTCACCAAAATTGTAAGAAAAACAAAAATAAAAATTAAATGGAATTGTTTTTTCGATAAGGCATAGATTCTTCATTATTCAACGATAGGGAGTAAACAATATCTGTAAACAGAAATGAAGAGTGTGTTTTACTTTGTATCCTCCCTCCCTCCTCCTCCTCCCTCCTCCTCCCGCCCTCCGCCCACCAACCTCCATCGTGCCCCTCCCTCCCTCCTCCCTCCTCCCTCCCTCCCTACCTCCCACCAACCTCCATCATTACGCCCCTCCCTCCCTCTCTCCATCTCCCCCCCCCCACCTTCCTACCAGCATTGCTTCTAATCCCAAATATTGATATAAAACGCCATTGTTGTGTTTTAATGTTTATTCAATTTTAAATACAGGAAATGTATTTGTATGAGTTAGTGTTTTCTTTCAAGAGGAATAATACAGCGTACGATTGTGTTGCTGTAGTATATTGTATCGTATTGTATTTGTGTAGTGTATTGTTAGAAATTTTTTGTTGTTGTTGTTGTTGTTGTTGTTGTTGTTGTTGTTGTTGTTGTTGTTATTGTTGTTTTTATTGATATTGTTACTGCTGTTGCTGCTGTTATTGTTGTTGTCGTTGTTGTTGTTGTTCTTGATGTTTTTATTGATATTGTTACTGTAGTTGTTGTTGTTGTTGATGTTGTTGTTGTTGTTGTTTTTATTGTTATTGTTACTGCTGTTGCTGCTGTTATTGTTGTTGTTGTTATTATTATTATTATTATTGTTGTTGTTGTTGTTGTTGTTGTTGTTGTTATTATTATTATTATTGTTGTTGTTGTTGTTGTTGTTGTTGTTATTATTATTATTGTTGTTGTTGTTGTTATTATTATTATTATTGTTGTTGTTATTATTATTATTATTGTTGTTGTTGTTGTTGTTTTATTGTTATTGTTACTGCTGTTGCTGCTGTTATTGTTGTTGTTGTTATTATTATTATTATTATTATTATTGTTGTTGTTGTTGTTGTTGTTATTATTATTATTGTTGTTGTTATTATTATTATTATTGTTGTTGTAGTTGTTGTTATTATTATTATTGTTGTTGTTGTTGTTGTTGTTGTTGTTATTATTATTATTATTATTATTGTTGTTGTTGTTATTATTATTATTATTGTTGTTGTTGTTGTTGTTGTTATTGCAGGGGCAGGACAAGCCTTCACAAGGGTTCACAAACTCTCACAAACTCCCGCTTCTGACTTTCACTCACGCACAACTTTCACAGTGCTGAAAGCCGAACAGCTTCCAGTTCTGATAGACCCCCCCCCCCAGTCCTTGTAGGCCCCAGACTCAATAGGACACAGTGTTAATAGGCCCCAGTGTTAACAGGCTACAGTGCTAATAGACCCTAGCGCTATCAGGCCCCAGTTCTCATAGGCCTTAGTGTCAGCAGGCTCCAGTCCCCATAGATTCCAGTGATAATAGGCCCCATCCACCTTCCCCTACAACTCCTTCCCCTCCCCATCTTTCCTTCCTCCCCCCTCCTTCTCCCCCACCCCTCCCCCTCTTTCCCCCATTATACACATTATACACATTATACACATTCACTCATTTCGACGTAAAAGATCTATATATATTTTTTCATATGGCTGCATAGTAATCATAACAAACCCATGTATGTACTTTGGTGCGCGTGTGGGTATGTGTGTGTGTGTGTGTGTGTGTGTGTGTGTGTGTGTCTATGTGTGTATGTACAGCAATGCACGCTACATACAAATACGGTCACTATTAAAATGCATATCGGGTCCATTTTATGTTAAAGCGAATCCGGATGCAAATTACCGAATAGTCCATTACGCGATAAATATATTATTTTTTTTTTTTATAACTAACTTCAATGGCACTCTAACGGGGTAT